GTTTTTCAAGTGAGAACTTATCTATGTTTCAATACATATTGTTAAAACAAGATGATTTTTCTAAAAATGTCGGCGTATTATAATCGAAATTCGAACGAAAATTTTCTGAGTTATTCTGCTTTAAATACTACGGACAATTGCGTAAACCGGGTTTTCGATAACACTGCACTAATAAAAAACAATAAATTGCCTATACACGACTCCTATGAAACGATTAATACCATACAATCTCTATAAATGGCTAAAGCGCAATAACTCAGAAACAATTCGTTCAAATTTCAATTACATTACGTCAACGATTTTAGAAAAATCATCCGATTGAAAATTTGGATTAAAACATGTATGCAAAGACCAAAGTCTCTAAATGATAATCCTCAAATGTTATGGAAAATCTAATTATGCGAAAATATTGTTTTTCACTACACTTAAAAATTCGAAAATATAAGAATTTTAATTTATACGTAATTTAACCACAAAAATAGAAAATTATCCTTTATACAACCCCCCTCCCCCTCCCGGAACGTGTACAATGTATACGATGCATTTTCTTCTTTAAAGCATAATCTACAATAATGTTATCTAAACCGCTAAAATATGAAAGAAGTTAAATTAACATCCGAACAGTCAATAATTTAATTACAATAAATTACTTACCTCGTTAAACCTATTTGCTTGATTTCAATGGCAGTTTCTGGGCAGATTGAGTCGTAAACTACTTATAAAAATAGATCTTTTCTTTTTAGTCTTTGGGAATACGTACGCTGTACAGTACACATTATACAACACTGTACACAATATTGCTACATTCAGAACTTCCCTTCTTGGCAAAGTCCTAATTACGTCATTGAAAAGATATTTCTATATAAATGCTGACTTATTATATAGGATAAGGGTAAACGTATATAATTTGGTTATTCACATTTTTTCAATAGAAATCTTTAGACAAAACAGTGCGCACGTGTATATTATATAAACCGAAAATACAATTCACTGCGTAAAATACGACAGCCATTAAATCTGGGTTTTCAAAATTTGCTCTAATTTTGTAAAATTTTAATGATCATCTTAAAGATAATTTTTCCACTAATCTAATACACATTTCGGAGGAGGGGGTACGGTGGACTTTACGGACGGAAATGACTTCAAGAGAGAAACTCTCACCTCTCGCAAAGCGGTTTAATTTCAATAGTTGTTTATTATAATTATTATTTGAAAAAGCAAAACTTCGTATTCAGCCGCGAATTTTGATTAATCCGTGTGTAATTTCGGAAAGAAAAAAAATAACTCAAATTAAAAACTGTTAAACAATAATTTACACAGTTTCTAGGAATTTGAATTTTGAAAATCGTTTCCATTGTAACCAAAAAAAAAAAAAACCGTCTAACTAGCCTACGGGGTGGCCTACGTTTTTTGCACGGCCGCTCCGGGACGATCCCAATCGCTATCGTCGATTAATTGGATAATCGCGCGCGAAAACCTTCCCAACGGAAAATCGGTCCGGCTTTTCGTCCGGTACTGGATACCAGCGTTTTTCCCGATCTCGAATCCACGGCGCGACCTGCACCGGACGAGGCGCGCAATCCGGTTGTATTTGCGTACGTGCGTTGTTGTATGTCGTTAAACGGTCCGCTGCCGGCGTTGGTGACACGCGGGTATCTGAAACCAGCGACCCCGAAGGGCGATTTTCAATCCGCGGGATAGTACGAGTTTTTTCACCTCGCTCGAACCCCGAAACGGTCGTCTCCGCAAACCCGGTGCGTTCCGGACGCCACCGCCGTCTAAAGCCCTCGAGTCTGTTAAATTGTCGGCACGACACACGCCGTACGCGCAATATTTATTACGACCGTATCACGCACGCGACGGGCCCACTAATTATACCGGCGAGTTATACGGACGTTATTAAATCGGCCGCCCGACCCGTCGGCCGCGCGTCCGATTAACGAGATGAATTGTTGACGGGGACCCCGGCCGCGCGTGTTCCCTAAAACCGCGTCCGCCCTGCAAAACAGCGGAATCGAGTGAGAGCGAACCGCGCGCGCGATATTATTATCGTGCGTCACAACGGACCCGGGACGACAGCGTTTTCGACTCGCGCAAAACGTGTAAGCAGAACAATCATAATGCGCGATGTTAATTTGATTTCGTACGAGATTCGAATTGAATTTCCATAAAATACGATTCTCCAACCTCGGGTCGTGACCTCGTGGCGCGTTTGAAGTACGAAACTTAACTGGTTAGCGGGTGCGTAAGTGCATTAATCGTGCTCGCGCTACGCGGTTTTCAAACGAAATACCTGTACAGCGACCGTTTTACAATTATTCGTATTCGAAATGCGTCTCGGCGGTACCGACGAACACCGCGGTTACATCTCTCCCGCGGCATAGTACCTGCGTGTTTCGCAATGCGTTTTTCGGTTGGTACTGCGAAAAATCCGCGGTTTTTAAATATATTAACAATTATCGTTCCGTATGACGTAATATATTTATAAAGGCAATACCCGAATCCGTAATAAGGCATTTAATTTTCTCGAGTTAAATCAACAGTGGACTTTTCGTTCGAAAAATTATAACGAAAACGAGGTTATTATATAGCTGCATTTGTTAGTCGTAGAGATTTTGGTATTATTATTAGCTATAGCTCTGATTGGGACGAGCTTTCTTGGGGCGAAGGATTAGTTTGTCACTATGCAACTTGTACCGCATAAAAAAGCTAATTTCAACGGATAAGAATAACTCGTACGGTGTGATTATATTCGTTTTACGAATATTTTCAGATTTTAGTACAATTTAAAAAAAAAAAAAAAACATGTAGCCCAGTGTAGGTACCTATATTATCGATCTATGAACAAAACAAATGGAAAATCGTTTTTGGGTTTCGGGCCCCGGGTTATTCCGCGATTTATTAATAAGCTATACGCATGCGATTTAAACTCCGATTTGCTTCTGTTTTGAATTTTTGTTCGGTGCATACTTCTCGGCAGAACTGAATATGCCGAACGGGTAATGAATATTTGTTATACACGCGCGATATGTTTTTTGTACGTATTCGACGGTTCAAACCGTATTGATAAAATGTTAAAAAGTGTCACTTTTATTCGTTATTCCATTATTTTATGGTCTTTTATTTGATGATTATTTTGATAAATAATAGAACAAATAAAAACACCCGGCTTTAATTAAAATGGACATTATTGATTTTCTTGTGTATTATCACTACACTCGGTCGAATATTTGAACACAAGAGGTAAAGGCACTACTAGTATTTGTTTTATTTTTTTATTATTTCACAAGCAGCATATTCTCTTAATTTATTTAATACGCAATATTGTTCTAGTTTTGTACACGATATATATATATATATATATATATAATTGTGACTGGAACTCGCTTGTATAAAATAGTCTAATATAAGAAATAAGAAATACGATAATATGATATAGAAAAAAACGAAACTGGAATACCGTATTTTATTTATGAGCTCGTTAATTGAAGTATTATATAAGAAAGAAAAAAAAATGTAAAAGGAGCCGACACAGTTGATGGGTATATGACTATAGCTGTTGAAGATGGAAAGTTAGGAGGTTATAGGGTATAATATAGAGTAATAACATAATTTGTATCTGTGTGTAACAATAAATCATTGCTAACGAAAAGCGAATCTGAACGAATTTCAATTGTATATGTTTAAAATATTGGAATTTCGCGAGTTTTACGGTTTTCTTAAAAATGTAAAAGTGTAAGGTTATTATGTTTATTTTAAAACAAAATCAAAAATAACAGAAACCGTTATGTCATACATTATCGTCAAAAAAATATGCTGATAACGGCCTACAGTTTTCACTTGTTTTGTTTGTCCTTTGACAAGTAATCAGTAACTTTAACATAATAATATAACGGCATAATAACGCAATACTTAGCGAAATATCTACCGAAAAAGTCCAAGAAGTTATTAATTTTGTCTAAAATCGATTCATCGCGACAGTTTCGCCACCAGTCATTAAACAGTAGTTTCGAACGTATAAAGGGTAACTGGAGAGCAGGGGCCGACATTGAACGCCAACTGGTGATTTAAAATGGACAAAATTAAGTATTTTACTCTTTAATGGATCTCATTTTAAATTTAAATACCTAAATACCTATATAGCTTGATGAAAAAATCATACTTTCATACTATTAACTCTAGGACTGATTTAAACGTAAAAAAACCTTCGATTTGTTGTGTAAAACCACGTCGGGTAAGTAACAGTGATAAAACAAATGCATATTTGGTCTGCCTAGGGACCCGGCGAGCAAAATCACTCGCTCGGTCAGCTTCAAAACGAAAATAGCTCTCAATTTGTTATGCAACACCACCTTAAAGTGTAGGTGACGGATTAAATTATGTATTTTTCTAGGAAAATCGCTTATAATAATTATTATCATTGTTTGGGATATCAATTAAAACATCTAAAACAATGTCTAGGACAATTTGTTCTATTAGAAAAATGTACGAAAACAAAAAATTTTGAGACACGGATTCGACTTAGGAACACCACTGTCTAGACTACAACAACCAATATATGGAAAAATTCAATATTGAATTATATAACTTAACATTGCACACGTATACCGATTGCTAATTGTTATATAACTTAGGAACTAAGTTCAATCCCCCAATTTAGGTTGCACCGTCATTATTAGCATAAATAAGTATTTATATTCGATTGGTAAACAAATTTTACCCCTCCATCCCCGTTAACCCTTTTTATGTTCAAAACTTCTGTTAAATTACCGGCAGTGAAACGGTTGCGGAGAAACAGTCACGGCGAAATTTCGTGTCCGATCTAATGAATTACAATTATTTACAATGCATTTAATAAGATTACATAAGAAGGAAACAAAATTTACCTAGCTATAGTTTGTGTTTCAGTATAGCAATATAGGTGTTTTATAATTTTAAGAACTAATAATTTCTATTCGATTTTTTATAGATAAAGAGAGTTGATAAGATAAGTACATAAGATGAAGCTTAAGTTCGGCTTTGATACTAGACAAAATGAGAGTAAATATACAGAGATGGTTTGGGCGTATTGTGAGGAATCTGAAGCAGTGAGAATTGTAGTAAAAACAAACGCATTAGGAAAGAGAAGGCGAGAAAGGCCGAAAAAGAGGCAGTTGGATGCGATAGAGAACGATAGGAAGACAGCTGGCGTATGCGACGTGGAATATCGAATCAAGTAGAAGTTTAGAACGAGGTTGGTGGACCGCATATAATTAAGATGGAGGCTAGGGAGAAGAAGAAGAAATAATATAACAAAAACGAACGTTCTAAAACTTAGAGAGCGATAATGTTATATACGCCATGAACGGCGTGTATCCTTTCGTAATAACGAACCGGGTGGGGGGGGAGTATTTCTCGGAGAATTAACCAGTCTTGATTAATTGTTATCGAAATTATTCCAATTGTAAATATATAGTAGTACACAAACAAACGCTGATACGACCGACGACCGATCCAATTTTATTTTGTTATATTGTCATTGTGTGTTAACACACCAAGACAATATAATGTCCGTGTGTCCCGTCCGTTTGCCTGTCATAATATCATGAACACAATTTTATATTGATTTGTACAATTGATTACAAAATAACTTGTCTCGACTGATTTATCGTCGTGCAGCCCGACGGATAGGGTTGAAATTCGGCACGCTGATAGTTATTATGACGTAAGCATCCGCTAAGAGAGAATTTTTGAAAAATCAACCCCCTAAGGGTAAAATAGGGGCTATAGATATTTTCAATACAGATATGTATAGTAATTTGATTGTCACAAACGATTTTTTTTTTTTTTTTTGAACTAATAAACATCAGCCATTAGTTATTAATATGTACATTTGCTTAAGATAAGTTTTACGTTTTAATTTAAAGTTATATAAGATTATATAATTTGATTTCCGTTAAGAAGTTGGCAATGTTGTTATTTAATTGGAGAACAGGTTGTAGAGTTGTCATTTAATTTATATGATATGCGGTGTTTAGTTCTTGAGACTGCTTACTTTAAATATTCAGTTAACACGTGTTTGATTATTACTATTATTTACACTATCATCTGGCGATAGCGAAACCTTTAATTAAAAAAAGAGTTTACATTAAAATAATATAATCAACAAATATGTATAGAAAAATGAATCGAAATTGTATTGGTGACGCCATAATTTGAAAACGGGTGTACCGATTCGGCTGATTTGTCATTTTATTTGTTTTGTAAAAGTTGTAATTATTAATACGAGGTTTTTATGAAAGAAAACTATTGAAAAATCCGCCGGAAAATTCGTAAATTTAAATGTTATTTTTGTGTAACAATCTCAACAATTTTTTAAAAAAATTGCATTCGTATCACCAAGGCAACCCGTTATTCGACAAAAACAATTCGGTAATAAACGTTCAATTCTGCTGTCACATGATCTCATAACAATAGCATATTGATGATAAATTAAAAAAATAAAGGTTTACATGAAAAAAACGTTTTTGGAAAATCTACCGGAAAGTTGGAAGTTTTAATGACGTTGAAGTCACTTTGACGCACAAACAAAATACCGATTCTTTTTTTTTTTACACTTAGATTACCAATCGAGTTGTTCGCATTATATTATTATAAATTGTCGGCAAATACGCACGTAAAGGTATAAAAGGAACACCGTGCCGTTCGCGAGTGACCACTATATATAGCACTGCACAAGTTCTCTCCCAATACAGTCGAGCGTGCCCACTCCCCGTAGGTCAGCTTCGTTTGGAATCCACACACCCTTTGATTCGGGGTTTAGATGAGAATTATAAAAAAAAAAAAAAAAATGTCACAACAAAACACTTTTAGTCCGCCGAATGTGGACTACCCACTTTTCGACAATTCGTGTTCCTTCAATACCAACACGGTCAAAAGCAATAAGGAATATTGGTAAAAAAAAAAAAAAAAATATAGTAAAAATCGGCACGGGCAACGCTGTGCGGTACGGCCAGTAATAATATAAATAAACGATATATTTTGGATGCAGGACGGAATAGCCGCGTCGTGACGGGAACGAAAACAAAAGAATATTATTTCGCTATGCTCTCGGTGAACATTATTGTTTGTTTATTACAACCACTAGTTAATTTAAATTAATAAAGTCCCGACGTAAATCCGTTTTTAACTATCAGTTTTCATTAGTTTTATATTATATACCTTCGAGTTTGATATTTTTTGTGTTGTTTTTAGATTTTCCCTGCTAAGTCCTTGGTGCACTGCCATTAGGGCCGTACTCAGTTTTTCAGGGTCCCGGACAAACCGAATCTTCCATGTCCTTTAATTTGTTTAAGGCTTAGCCTAATTTTCAATGGAAAATTTGTTTTGTCAGCCCGGACTCATTAAAAAAAGGTTTAAAGCCGGCCTCCGGCTTAATGACCCGAGAAAATAAGTCTGTGCACGTTCCTGACTGCGGTGGTTATTCCGCCATATATCTTATACGGAAACAGAAAATGTCAGACACCAAAGACTGATGGTTGACCATTGAGATGAGATTTGGACGAAAATCAACGCCGCCGCGTCTGTTCGAACATCGGAGATTATTGCGGCGATTACACTGCACTGCGACCGATTCGATCAATAAGCCCAATTGACGCGGGTGCTTATCCGTGTGCTATAAAACAACATAAATATCGAAATTCACTGGGTAGTATTTTACCCGTCTATCCGATTTTAAATATTTTCGCGTGCCGACAGATATTCGAAAGTCAAAGATATCCAACTTGTTACATTTTAACTCGATGCTCAAGTTTTTATTTAAACCGATAGGTCCAATCTTGTTTTATCGTGACGTACGTAGGTGTTTTCTCTTTCAAAATATATACATATATATAATATGTACACTATACGTTTACTATGGATCCGGACGAAATCGGACTAGAAAAAGTACCGATAAATTCAACTTTCAATCTATTAACAGTATGGGTTTAATTATATTAATTATAATATATTGTAGGTAATACATTTTTTAAATTTTTATTTCACTTCGATAATGGTATCCATATAATACCTACTATGCATATATGTATATAGGCATCGGTGTATTACTGTCTAGACTACGGTTTCATCCAAATGGAAAAAAAGTAATGTGTTAATAACTACTCGATTTTTTTTTTTATTTATTAATAATAAATTTTAATTTCATTAGATTTATATGAAGATTACCGTGTTTGGAATCCGGGTCTATATTACCTACCTTGCCTATCTATATAGATGTATATCAGTGTATTACTACGTGGACTTTGGTTTTATTGAGAAAGAAATGGAGTAATTCGTACGTCATGCGGTCGCGTTCGGCTTCTTATCTGACTTTGCGCTGTAAGTGGTTTGTTTTTTTTATACATACGAATACCTATACAGTATGCTACCTAGTTAGAAATGTGGATTAGGCCTAGCGGCCGCGGCCAATTGGGGAAACCACTAAAAAATAAACCAGCCGAGTGTAATACCTCATGCTCATATAATATTATGTGTACTTGAAACGTACCTATATTTAATGAGCTAAGGTGGTTCGGAAACTTACACAGGTACTTTGAACCGAAACATTTATCTCTTTGATTAATTTAAAAAAAAAGGGTTTAAAAAAAACCCTTTCAATTAACAGAGACTTAATAAGATTTGATTTTAGAAAAGACACAATGGTCAGTGAATAAGATTTCAAATAGAAAAAAAAATTTATATTTTCAAAAATATATGAAGGAATATTATTCGAACTCAAGTTAGGAATAACGTTATAATTAAAATAAAATTATTGTAGTTTATAAACGTTTTAAGATTGCATTTTTTTTTTTTTTTTTTTTATATAATTTCCCCATATTGTTTTTATTTCGACATTATAAAGCTAACGTGAGTGCTACGTAGATATTGGTATTTAAACATGAACATAATATTAGTTATCAAACCGATCGTTTTATAATTATTTTTACACCACATCACGTAGGTACGGCCAATTTGCGACGCATTTTATTAATTATATAGGACTTATCCTGAACTTTATGCAGGCACCATTCGTATGTATCTTGAAACTTTGATGGCAACTCAAAAACTAACATTTTTTTTATTTTTAATCAAGTCAAGGTATTTTTTACGCACAGTGAACTTATTATGATGTATGCTCGTCCTGACTGACAAATAGACGATCAACGCACAGCCTAAACCGTCCGCGTTAGAAACTTGACATTTTGACAGTGGGTACGATTTATACTATGGACTACATACGGTTCACTAACGAAGGGTTATTGAACATTCCAGCCCTAAAGTATAGCTGCCACAGGGTTCTTGGTATTTTTGAAACAGGCATTTGTTTGTAGATAAGTGTTTTTGACAAGTAGGTACTAATTTAAATGAAAACTGTAAAATTTATAGTATATTTCACGTTTACGAGTATACAATTTTTTCGACTCTGTAAAAGTGCTTTAGAAATTTGAGAAAAAAAACGAGACAGGTTCAATTTATTTTATAATTAAAAATGAATAAATTAGAATAGCCATACCTTCCTGGCTATCCACCTACAACGGCGGCACACCCAAAGTGCACGAAGTGTATTTTCTCATTTTAACGATGAGTTTCGGATGTGTTACGTACTCAGCCGGCTTTAGAACACTGTGATTTGGTAAAATATTCAATTCGGCCGTTATAATAATTTAACAGCGTGGCGAACCGTCCGGTGGGCGCACGTCTCCTCGTGTTGCGTCATCGAACCCATAGAAGAAAACTTGTAAACTGCGTATTTTACCGACGGTGTTTTTCGTAATAATAAACTGCGGAATTATCGAATGTTAGGCCCGGCCCAAAACGATAATCACAATACCCTACAGCGTTACGTTGTGACGTTGTCATTATAATGCGATCATAATATATATATACGCGGAAATCAAAACCAACAGCGACCGTGCGGCTCTTCGGACTTCGCGAATTGTAATTTTTCCAAGTGCCTAGGTTTCTATAGAATAAACGTATTGTTGCTGTGTGCCGTGTTGCCGAATCAGCTTTGGAAATAATCTGGCGAACAGTAATTAGTAATTGGCACAACTACCGAATGAGAACCAACTGACCTATGTTTTTTTTTTTTTTTTGGTTGCGTTGTCCTCTATATAACCTTCCGGCCCTAAATTACGTTGCTAATGTCGACTAAGAGATATCAACACCGATTTGTTAAAAAGTCGTGTACCACATTCAA